TAAGGTAATTTTGTTATAATATTTATTTTATAGTTATATATGATTATTTGAAAAAATATTATACTAATTGTTTCAATTAATTTCTGTATTTGTAGAATTAGAAAGTGGGAGCATACGTTGAAATATTTTTGCGGTGTAAATAATAATATAAAATTATATTATTTAAATTATTTACGTTTATGTGTAAAAAAAATTATTCTGTTATATTTTTGGCCATATATTATTTATTTAATCAGGTTTGTTTCAGTTGTTTTTTTGCAGATATAATATTGTTGCAGGGAAAATACAAGCAAGTTTTATTATTGGCAGTTATCCAAGATGGCAATCGCAACATTCTTCCAATTGCTTTTGCTCTTATCGAAGGAGAAGATACAGATTCTTGGGCTTTTTTCCTCCGAAATTTACGTGCACGTGTTATCACGAGGGAAAACATATGTGTCATTTCAGATCGCAGAGCTGGGATCAAAGCAGCAATGGAGTCTTTGGGTCCAATATGGCAACCACCCTTTTTCCGACATAGGTATTGTCTCCGACACATTGCTGCGAACTACCATGGAAGGTACAAGAAGAATGATGAGCGTCAATTAATTGTGCGCATGGGTAAGTGAAACTGATGTAGTTTGTTTTCTTTCGATCGTTTTAATTTTGCAAAGAAAGCAAGTTAGTAAGTTATACATGTTTTGACCAGGTTACGAACTACTTCCTCGAACGTTTGAATCAATGCTTCAAGATTTGCGGGCAAAGAACGAGGAAGGATACGATTACTTCAGCCTCATCGATAAAGAAATGTGGACGAACGCATATGATGGTGGATATCGATATGGACACATGACGACCAACTTGACAGAGGCAATCAATTTAACTTTAAAGGGTGCACGTTACTTACCAGTAGTGGCTTTGGTAAAGACTACATATTTTCGTTTGGGGGCACTTTTTGCGAAGCTCGAGGGATAAGCTCAAACCTAGATGCAAGGCGGTCATGTCTATCACCCTAGAATAGTTGCAGATCTACAGAAAAAAAATTCTACATCAAATGGAATGTCTGTAACAAGCTTCTCTAGAAGGCATGAAATGTTTTGTGTCACAAAGTTGTCACGACCTCTTCAAGGGATTGAAGTTGTGTCGTTAAGAGTAAATCTAAGGGATAGAACGTGCGACTACGGGGTTTTTCAAGCTCTTAAGTATCCATGCTCTCAAGTGATAACAACTTGCTCACATACACTTCAAGACTATAACCATTTTGTGGATCTTGTATACCTACTATCTGAAGTTTTTAAGGTATACGAATTTGAGTTTCCCCCATAGGTAATGACAAAGACCCTGATGAGGTTCAAGATTGGCTTCCGATTGTACCAAATCCGAGTTTATTGAGGGAGCGTGGTCGTCCAAAATCCAATTGAATTCATTGCGATATGGATATTCGAGAAAGATCTAGACAAGACAGGAGATATGGGCATTGTAGAAACCCAAGACACACTAGAAAAACATGTCCACTTCTATTGCCATAAAGTAACAATTGATAAGGAAATGATGTATTTGTTTATCAAATAATAATTCTTGTACTTTGATTTGCATTTACTTTAAGTTAATGTCATTCGATAATCGCTAATGAAGATTAAAAAAACGATACAATAATACGAGATTGGACGTTTGCGTTATATGTGATTATAATAAAAGAGATAATAAGTGACAAACTTAAGAAAGTTATCGAACAATTTGGTATTTCAAAATAATTTTAAATACAACAAGCTTACAATAAGTATTAAATGGTAAATGATAACCAAATTACAATAACTAATATTAAATGGTAATAAACAAAATTAACTGAAATACATTAAAATTAAAAAAAGTCAAACAAATTTAACAAAATAAAGTAAGAATTAAATGAGAAATAATAAAAAATTACAATTAAAAAGTCCAATAAACTAAATACAAATATAATAAAAAACAAAATCTATCGATACCTGCGACGCGAATGTGTTCCGCAGGGCAGTGGCTGTCGGTCTCAAGGAGGATTTCTTCGTATCACTAGTTGTGACTCTTCGTTGTCATCATCATCACCACCATCATCGTCGTCGTCGTCGTCCTAAGTAGGTACATTAGGCTGATGAGGATCTGATGACGATGAAGCACCTCCATAGAATAAGGACCATGGAGGTGTATGACTGACTATCCCACCGGCCTGCGAAAACTGGGAAAACTCATAAAACCCAGACATCACTGAGTGTGAAAACTGTACAGGAGGTGTCTGTGTTGCGGCCATGGGTGATGAGGCTGAACCCACCAAATATCTATCATATGAACCCCAAGTCGAATCTACAAACATAGATCCATAATAGCCTCTAGGAGGGGTCATCTATGAAGGTGGCGGCGACGGGGTCATAAAAGCAGGTAAAGGCGGCAGCGGCGACACCTGGTAATGGAAAGGCAGTGGCGGCATCATATATGGTTGCGGTATGTAAGTCGCTGGATATGGTGGCTGCTGTAAAGGTCCTGCTGGTACAGCTGAGGATGAACCGGATGCACCTGCTCTCCGTCCACGAGTCGGGGGACGATGGTGCTGTGTCGGTTTGCCGTTACTGTTGAAAGGTCTATGTTTAAACGGTTTGCCCTCGTGAAAAGGTCTGCCCTCGTGCATCCTCGGGAAGCAGAAACGGTTTGCCGTTACTGTTGAACCACTCGTAATAACAGTCAGCAACCATCAAGAGTTCAAGTAAAATTGGCTCTCTATGGGAAAGGCGCCGATGTCGATCCTCCCACAACACGACCCACACATGATGCCTCACCAGCCAATCTGTATCTGTCTTGCCACGTCTATCTGTGCTATGCAACTCGTCCATATTGCGAGGTGCTTTCAGAATTGGTTGAAAACAACCAAATTACCGAAGCACGCGATAAGTGGAGTGCCACTCGATGGTCGCATAACAGATCAAGGGGATCATCGCCATCCAAACATCTGATGGGCCACTCAACTTAGGTGGGATCACCGCCCTCACATCATCAGTAGAATATGGCACCCATTCAAACTAAAACATATATATATAATTTTTATCAAAATATTAATCTAATTATATAATTATAATCTAAAATCGATTTTTAAACATTAAAATTCATACCTGTGTACCAGCCTTCTGATCGATTAACACCCTAATTTTTTCTAAATCATCAGGTAGCTCCTGATGATTTTTCCTATCAGTAGACCACCTATTCAAGAAAAATAATTTCTTATTCACTGTATAAAATTATTAATATACAAAATCAGTTTTATAATTACCTCAGGGAGTAGCGGAAATACGAATGGGTTCTTGACAATGGGACATAAAAAGGGCAATCGTTACCATGCCCAAGACTGCAACAGCAAGAGACATCCGCCGATAGCATTAGGCCTATAGTCAATGGCTTGACACATCTCCCTGTACAGGCAAGCCAAAACTACCGAGCCCCAACTGAGTGATCCGGCCAGATAAAAGTCGCTAAGATGTTACAACCATATACAGTAAACTTGGTTGCGCGATTTGTCCAGCATCAGCAACCCTCTTATCAGCTGCAGTATGCATGCCTGTGCATACTGTTTAATTTCATCGTTAGACGTGTCCTCGCTCAACTCCCTAAAATTGGCATCTAACCAATTTAACGGTATCCGTCCACCGTTAAAATTTTCCTGGACACGTCCTAGACTAACCCGACACAAAGTAGTCCAAGAACTGGAAGCTATCCCTGATATCACACCTCCATCCACCGGAAGCCCCAGGTGTATAGAAACATCCTCAAGCGTGATCGTGCACTCTCTGCACGGAAAATGAAATGTGTGGGTCTCCGGCCTCCACCGCTCTACTAAGGCAGAAATAAGGTCTGGTTCTATCTTACAGTGACCCTGATATCTACCTAGGTGTCTGAATACAACCTCTACTAAATACGACATTACACGAGTAGGTATAACTAACTTAAGGTTCATAATAAAAGGATCTAATATATGGTCTCTCTCTCCTAAAAAAATAAATAATTACACAAATTAATTTTTAAACTAATAATCATGCATTAAATTAATTAATTAATTAAATTAAAACGCTAAAATGTTACTGTATCAGCAAAGTGTCGAGATATATGATTTTCATCCAACCAAAGTAGTCCGCCTTTCATTTTATATCTATAAAAAAATTAATTAAATAAAATATTAAGCAATTAAAATAATTAAATAAATTACTAAAAAATACTAAATATAATAAAATATACCTTAATAATAGAATATAAGAGTATTTGAAAGAAGTTGAGAGGATTTGGTGTGATGAAAGTGATTGAGAATTGGCGTATTTATAGGGAGGGATAGGTGTGAATGGGTAGGGCTAATTTGGTAATTAAGAGTATAGCGCGGGGCAGGGCCCGTGCTTTTCTGACGCGTGTCAAAATCACAGGTATGGCGCGGCCCCTACGCCGTACCATACCTTTAATTACCAACCTACCCTCGCCCGTTCACACATGTATCCATGTCAGTATAAGGCGCGTCGCAGGGGGCGCGCCTTACCCCACGTGACGCCAAATCAGCGTATAACGCGGTGTAGTGGGCGCGTCTTACTACAAAGGGGTTAGATCGAGAAATATAATCTGACCGGTGCCTGATCGAGAATATTAAATTAAAAATATGATTTTTTTGGAAAAACGCCTCAAACCCACAGTCGATATATTTTTTTATATATTCTTATTATTTAACCTATGATCTTTATTTAATAAATTAAAAAAAATTTATTTTAGTACAAAATATTTTTTCCATTTAAATAACTATATAAAATAAAATAAAACTCAATTATCAAAACTAAAATTGGGTACGAAATGATATATTAACCCTTAAATTTATACCAAAACTACCAAGAAATTTCACTGCAAAATCGTTGGAGTTGCCAACTGATTTTCTTTGTCAATAATGAATGAAGGGCAGTTTGGTCTTTTCAATGTCTTCCCTCTTTAACGCCTATATTTTTTATCCGCTGGCTAAGCAATCAAAAAAACCATTCTCATTTCTCAAAATTTTTAAAAAAAAATCAGTCTTGGTCTTTAAACGTTCGTTATATTTTCTTTTCTCAATGCAGAGAATCAAACAAGATCGATCTTTTAATTTCGATTCATGTTTATAAAGAAGACCCCATTTCTTCTCTTCAAAATTTGTTCACAAAGCCTTTGGCAAAATGCGGGCTCCCAGTTTGCTGATCTTGGGATTTTTAGCAGTGTTGTCGGTGGTTTACTGTGTTGTTATCCCACTGGAGAGAGCTTTTCCTTTGAACGGTCAAGTTGAGTTGAGCCAACTCTTAGCTCGTGACCAACTCAGACATTCACGAATCTTGCAGCGTTTCGTTGGTGGAGTCGTCGACTTCTCTGTTCAAGGCTCCTCTGATCCCTATCTCGTCGGGTGATTTTCGCTTGCCTTTTTTTATTTTTTTGTCTTCACTTTTACGGCGTTAAGGTTCTTTTTGGGTTTTGCATTAATGGGGTTATTTTTGCTTGTCAATGAATTTAACCTGGTCTTTTTTTATAACTTTTCTCCCTTAATCCGAATTTATGGTTTATGTTTTTCAATAGGTTTTCTTTGATGAATTTTGAAAGTACGAAACTGGCTAAATTTAGGTTCTTTGTTTGAATATTTAGTTTTCTCCTTTCTATTATGTACTTAGTATTGCGTTTACGTATTTACTTTGTTTACAGCTTTATCTTTACGCTTCTTTTGACAGCTGAAGATGTGGAAGATAATGAATGTTGAAGGAAAAGATGAAAACTTGCCTTCTTTTTCCTTAATTTTTTTCTTTGTATCGCAAGTGTTTTTCTCATTCAATTTTGCCTATTATTCTCTTGAATTGCCTTTGCTTTTTATCGATTCTTTTAACACGTATTGGAATCTAGATAGTAGCATTGATTTTTTTCTTATATATTTTTTGTATTTATTTGTTTGTTTAGGCTTTATTTTACAAAGGTGAAACTCGGATCACCTCCTAGAGAATTCAATGTGCAGATAGACACTGGAAGTGATATATTATGGGTGACATGCAGTTCTTGCACTGATTGTCCCCAGTCCAGTGGGCTTGGAGTAAAATTCCTTCCTCTTACTTCAATAAGTTTGATAAGATTTTGGAGGGAAATGACAGTCGAGAATGTAATTGCTATCTTGTTTCGTTGTGCCCTGTGCAGATTCAACTCAGTTTATTTGATTCTTCAAGTTCGTCATCTGCTAAGCTGGTTTCTTGTTCGGATCCAGTGTGCTCTTCAGAATTTCAAACAACTGCAACTCAGTGTTCTCAGAGTAATCAGTGCAGTTACTCCTTCCAGTATGGAGATGGAAGCGGGACTTCTGGTTATTATGTAGCTGACATGTTGTATTTTGATGCTATTTTGGGACAGTCTTTGATTGTCAATTCTTCAGCTCTTGTTGTATTTGGGTGAGCTTCCGTGAGTCCATAGGGATTTGCTTTTTTCTGATAATATAGGATTGAAACGTACCATTATGATAAATGGAAGACAAGGAAGAAACATAATAAAGGGCCCAACCATGTTAATCTATTATGCAACCATAAGTATTTGAGCAACTGGAACGAGGTTAATGTCAAGATTAATTGTGTGCTTCTAGTACACTTTGATTTTTCCGTAGATGAAAGAAGGTAAACTTGGTCATTTAAGTTTCACATAGTATATTTCATATTCCAAAAAAGCAATTTTTTTCATTTTTTTTGTCTATGTTTTTCATCAAATAATATCTTAATTGCTGTTTGTCTTATGTTAATCTCACCATGTTATCAAAACTTATTCCTCTCCTGACATTTTTGGAAACAGGTGCAGCACATATCAGTCTGGCGACTTAACTAAGACGGATAAAGCTGTGGATGGGATATTTGGTTTTGGCCGAGGTGATCTGTCTGTTATATCACAATTGTCATCACGGGGAATAACTCCTAGAGTTTTCTCACATTGTCTGAAAGGAGATGGCAGTGGAGGAGGTATAATGGTTCTTGGTGAGATTTTGGAGCCCAACATTGTTTATAGTCCACTTGTCCCTTCACAGTATGTCCTCCTTCTTGTACACCGTTTGTTTTATTTGTACTTTCTGCTTTTCCTATGATGGTTTGGTTCTATTTTATTGTTGTGGAACATTTGCAAGTATTGTTGGTAAAGCTGTTCAGATACCTTCATGCTGTAATTACATAAGTTTTCTTATTCCCTCGGTCTAAATGGATCACATGACATTCATTTGGTTACTTTGAACTTCATTCCTCCTTTTAGTGCATGTTCCTTATATTACCACTACTTCTAGGAGTCGAGGCTTGCAAAAGCTTGGTCCTTCACATCATTATATCTGCTACTCTTTGATAATGGGATGGGAAAGAGTTTAGGTGTATGAAGGGGTGATGTAGATGCTGTCAACTTGCTTATTTGGGTTTTTATTTTTTGTTGGTGAACCGATGTTTCATGAATCATCTCTGGCTTTACTGTGTCAACATTTCTTTTGTGAACATATGATCTTTCAGTTTCACTTGGAATATGAGGCTACAAATTTTGCAGCAGGTTTGAAAATTTCCTTGTTTAACATTTTCAGGCCCCATTATAATTTAATGCTACAGAGCATTGCGGTCAATGGGCAGTTACTGCAAATTGACCCGGCAGTTTTTGCAACATCAAGTAATCATGGTACTATCATTGACTCTGGAACAACTTTGGCATACTTAGTGCGAGAGGCATATGATCCATTTGTTAGTGCTGTAAGTATGAATGTTATGAATATTCTTTCAGTTCTAGTCGAACTTAAAGCAGTGCAAATGGTGACATAGGAAATATACATCTCTTTCTGAGATTGCCACCCTGAAAGAATTAAATATTTTGTTATATTGCATCACTTTATTGGTATTGTGTTCTGAAGTTGACTTGCATGTTTGAATTTGCAGATAACAGCTACTGTTTCACCATCTGTTACTCCCACCATTTCTAAAGGAAACCAGTGTTATCTAGTCCCCACCAGGTTACTCCACCAACCATCTGTTTCACCATTTTTTGTTTTCACATACACCTAACATCATTTTATGTAAATGAGACTGATATTTGTTTTGTATTAAGTGTAAGTGAGATATTCCCCCCAGTTAGTTTAAATTTTGCGGCTGGTGCATCAATGACGTTAAAACCAGAAGACTATCTTATACGCTCTGGTTTCTATGTAAGTTTTCATTTTTCTTCTTCTTTTGTTCAATTCCGCATAAGTTTCTATGAAGTAAAAATAATTGCTGTTAAAGGAAATTCTGCTGCATGTAGTGTAATGGGTCATTTTGTATTTTGCAGGATGGTGCTACAATGTGGTGCATTGGTTTCCAAAAGGTTCAGGGTGGAATGACAATTTTAGGAGGTTAGTTGAGCTTTTTTTTTAATCAAATATAGTTTGGAGTTTGGATTTTTTTTTGTCTTTGCTCCATAGTATATAGTGAGTGCTAGTATTGCTGCATGAACTCGTAAAAATCATCAGAGTTGAGACTTTTTAAATGGAGGACATTGCCGAATTGTACCTTTACTGCACTCGTCTTTAACTCCAAGGAATCACCAAATTTTGGTGGTATACTGAGGAATTCTCACTAACTCTTTGAATATGGATAGTAAAAGTGGTAAATATAATTTATATAGTCAGTCTAAAATCAATTTATTGTTATTTATTATATTTTATTTATGTAAAGTTTATGTTTGGAAAAAATATTACAATGAAACTCTTCTTTTCCTTTCCATACAAAAAAAAAATTCCACCTCCAAGGATTAATTAAGAAAATGGGGTTTGGTTGATTTTATTCTCATCCACTGAGAAATTGAATAAGTTTTTTTTTTTTGCCTAATAACATGAAACCCTCGATCATAAGGTATCCAAGGTAAAAAAAAATCCTTTTACACCTGTATGAATTTGTGTCTCTCCGGTTCAACTTGGGCCTATGATTTAGCCAGTATGGATTCGGGCCTTCTATTTTGCACTAGACTTGTGATAATTTAACCATTTTGTTTACTTTTTTAAAGATGAATTTACCATTTTGTCATACTCGTATTGCAGATCTTGTCTTAAAAGATAAGATAGTTGTTTATGATCTTGCTCATCAACGGATTGGATGGGCCAACTATGATTGTAAGTTCAGTTTATAGTTAAATTATCTTTCGTTTAAATCCTAAAATCTCATTGCTTCATTTAGCAACATCGTCTCTTACATTGTATCCGAAATTGAACTTGTTAGGTTCATTATCTGTAAATGTTTCCATCACTTCCGGTAAAGACTTCATAAATGAAGGACAGTTGAGTGTGAGTAGCTCGACGAGAGAGATGCTATTCAAGCTTATACGTTTGAGTTTTATAACTCTCTTAATACAACTGTTAGAGTTTGTGGAGTTCCAGGTTTTGTAAAACCCATCAGTCTTTGAAATTCCATTCTTTCTTCAATCTATATAGTAGATTGTCCGATCTTTATTTATGGTGATCGGAAAGGCATTTGTGGTTTTTACTCGGATAGCAAAGGGTAGTTGTACCTGACAGTGTAAGGTTCTCACCTGGCCTGGATTGCTCATGAACGGACCGGAACATTGAATCTTCTTACGGATAGCTGGGCTTTCTACTTGTAAGGATCTTTTATGTCCATTGCTAAAGCTGTATATTATCTCTCCACTGGATTTGACGTGTAACACGAGTACAAACAACAATGTTGCCATCGAAAGCGGAAAGAAGGGCACTAGTTTTGGCTTGGTTTTAGTCAGAGATGCTGAAATAGGCACTTAATGTCCAAGTTTGAAGTCAATTTTGGAACATCATTGTTTGTCTGGGTTTTAGTGATATAAAAATGTTCATAATTTTTCATGTTTCCTCGTGTGTCAAGCCATAGGCCATAACCTTCTTGGTGACAAGCAAATGTAAGAAATTTCATTAAAAATTCTTCAGTTTATGATCTCGCTTTTTAATCATTTCAAAGTTTTAATCTTATATATATATATATATATATCACTGGGGGTTTCCAAAGAGAGATTTTCTGAGTTTGAGAAAATTGCTAGCAGAATTTGAAAATGGAGGTTTGTGAGTGATCCAGATACTGCTAAGCAGACAATGGAAACCATGAATGAATCACAACTGGGTTGGTTTTCTAGCCAGAAGAAGATGTATACAAGTTTTATACAAGCTATAAAAATCAATGATATTTTATTTAAAGCTCAAGAGAGCATACTTTCCACAGCTTTGTTCCTTTAACTCATCATCAACCTTCAATCACCTTAACAGGAGTTCTGCAGCACAAACTTATGTTTTAAACCAAACCGGCAGAGAATATGGATATAAAAGTAGGCATGATTACTTACCCAAATGGGCTTTGTTTGATTGACAATAGCTCAACATCCAACTGCAGGTTAGAGAGGAAGAGGAATAGTTAATATGCATAAAATGAGAATAATTGAGAAACATATGATTGTTACCTCAATGGTTGCATTTGGGGGGATTTCCTGGACTCCCTTTTTCCCATATGCTAGCTCTGGAGGAACTATCAGCAGTCTCTGTAAACAACCACCTATTGGTTAAACACTGAGTAAATATTTATAGTCATTACAACAAACATCGATAATCCTGCGTTTGTCCCTGTCTCACCTGGCCTCCGACCCGCATTCCTTCAACACCAAGATCCAATCCCTTAAGCACATTTCCTCTTTCAGATTGGCCAATATCAAATCCATAAGGCTGCATGAACTCAAACATATCATAATTGCCAAGCATGTCATTACAGAATATTACTACAATTCTGGTTTTAAGGCGTGAAAAAGGGTATGAAACATCTTGGTTTTACCGTGCCCCCTCCAACACCGAGTCCTTGTCTGCTAGTCATAAACGTGACGCCTCTCCATTTCGCGACATAATGAACCTACGAAAAAAGCAACCATACTGATCAGTTATATTCGAACTTACAGGGACAGACACAATTAATGGAACCTGTTTGGTTTTATCAAGAGCAATGTGTATGTTTTACAAGTATATTTGAGATTCTCTTTTAATTCCATTCGCAGTTCATAGTTTCCGGTAGAAAGTAATATAAAAGCAGATCATAAAGCATATGTTATGGACATTTTTGATGAAATGTAACTAGTTCACAACCGTACTGCAACCCGAGATCCCTTCACAGCCTTAAGTCCACTGCCAACCTTCAAATCATAGTACCTGAAGAATATGGTGAAGGTCAAAATTTGTATAATCATTTACATTGCAGAACATACAGAAGAAATACAACATATTCTTTCACTGTTTTATCCTCTAAGCCAAAGAAACAAAGAGATATATGATGTGACACATAAATCTAAGATGTAAGAAGAGCAACAAACTTGAGCCCATTGGGAAGAGTTGTGAATTCACTCTCAGGTATTTTAGCTCCTCTAAGCTGCAAGAATCAAATATAAAGTGCAGAAATTATACTTTATAAGGACCAGACATTACCCAAAAAAAGGATAAAATAGATATTGAAAAAGGGATATTTACAGCTCTTCGACTTGTGCTAGCTGCCTCAGCCACATCAGAGGCATACATTGCAGCAACTGAAACAAAGTTCATCAGAACATTAAACTCATAACTAATTACCCATTATTTTAAGTAACTTATTTAAACCAAAACACCATGAAAGCTAATTGATTATGAGAGTTGAAATTAAAGAGAAATTAAGTGGTAGTGATGTTAAAGCAGTAACTAGGTGTGAGGAGAGAAGCAAGCAATGCCCTTCTTCCCTGATCATGTTGCAAAGAAAAAAGTGGTGGCTTTGAGTTTTTATCATCAGAAGATGACAGTTTACAGTAGCATTGCAAAAGAAATGGTTTTCTCTTCGGTAGTCTCTTCCCTGAGATTCAAACAGATGTAAAGAGCATGAAAGTATAAACAAGATATGATCTTATTTGGAGGAAAATTTTAGAAAAGATTGAACATATTTACAAAGATGTTTTACCTGAAAAGGAGAGTGAGAAGTAAGGGTTGTGGAGGAGAGTTAAGGTGCTTTGATGAGAAGGGAGGAAGGAGAGTTCCATTGATGGTTTAAGAAGTGGAAGAGAAGGGTGAAGTTCATTGGAGCTTTCCTATTGCTATTTGGGCATGAAATGAAAAAGAAGATAACATGCTCAATACCATCCACATATTTAAAGGCTTCCCCTGTACCAGAAATGTCTATTTGAACCCAATTGTAGCAGGATTAAGACTTCAATCTTTTAGAAATTTTGATTAAGTCTCTTAAATTTCTTGAAAATTTACATTAATATATATAATATGTATTTATATATTAAATTATACCGTCAAAATAATTTTTATATTAATTTAATAAATTAAACAGACAAAAAGCATATGATGCATAATAGCTTAAACAATTATTACCTGTGATTTGTTTAAATCCATTCATTCTTCTTTCATTCGAATGAATCAAAAATATACGTATACATTATTTCTTTTCATAGAAATATACAATAAATATACATATACAATAAATATAAGCTTAAGAGTCATTTTGACCTTTTTCATAAACCTAAATTAATAATTTTATCTCTATTTTTTTAATTGTATCAATTTTATCACCAAACTTATTTAATTGTATAAATTTTGCTCTTTAATTGATGTTGATGCTTATAGTGCTAACATAATAATTAATAGTATTGATGTGATAATTTACTGTGCCGAATAAAAATATCGAGCCGAGTCGATCAACGCCAGGGATAACACTCACGGTAACACAAATTGCGACAAAAATGGCAAAAACTAAATAGAAGAATTGAGGAGAAAATAAAGAGAAAATAACTTTAATGACCGAAAATGCCTTATAATATACGATTTTAACCAATTTTTTTTGGATTTGCGAAAATGACCAACAAATTCGCAACGCGAACTCCAATTTCGCAACTAAATTTCCAAATTCGCAACGCGAATATGTAAATCGCATTTGTAAATCGCAACGTGAATTTGTAATTCGTAACACAGAAGTCAAATTCGCAAAGCGCGTTTATTTTCGCAACGCGAATTTTATTTTCGAATTCGAAACACAATATTTATTTCGCAACACAAATGTAAATAGTATAATCGTAAATCATAACCTAAAACCCTAAATCACAACTTAGTCACATCTCCATCTCTCACTCTCTACGGCGACATCCGTCCCCATCTCCGACGAAATCCGTCCCCATCTCCGGCGAAATCCGCCTATCTCCATCTCTCAGAGCCACCCTCACAACCATTCACGGTCAGAAATGGAAAATCAACCACCGAGGGTTAGTTTTTAATTATTTTTATTTTGAAATTTTTGTATTATTATTAGATTTTTCATATTTAAATTAATGATAAATTTACTGGTAATTTCAATAATAGATTAATCATTTCACTTAGATTGCTTAGTAAATTCATTCGGTTGCTGCCAATACTGCTAAACGGTTTAGTCTTTAACCCTGTGAAGTTAGTATTTGTCTTTTGGTTGAAGTAATGCAATTCATTCAAGTTTCAATTTGCAAAAGACTATTTGAAACTCAAATTCGCAACACGAAAATGAAAATCGTAACGCAAAACTGAAAATCGCAACACGATTTTCATTTCGCGTTGCGATTTTAAGTTTCAGAAACTATTCTTCTTCTGTAAATTGAAACTTGAATGAATTGTATTACTTCAACCAAAAAGCAAAGACAAATACTAACTTCACAATGTTATCTGATGCATTTTGTGAACTATGATAGAATAATGACTTGGGTGAATACCGTGCAAGTTTGAAACATATTTGGCTTTGTTTTCACTGTTTAATATCATGTTTGTTTATAGTGTATAATTTGTAGTTTTTGATATATCTAACTTGGTATGTTTATTGTTTTTGTAGAAATTTTTTTTCGGTGTAGAAATTTTTTCGGCTTCATTGACCTTAAGGAATAAATTAAGCCTAGCCACTACAATTGCGTCGACGCTTACACCTGTACAAAGAAAATTGTTTGAGGATACTTGCTTCGGGCCATGGCTGAAAGTACAACATCCAGGTGGAGATGCTATGTTGACCCATTTGTTTCTTCAGACCATGACTAACGATCTACCCGAGAGAATACAATGTGGTGATGAAGAGATATGGTTTCATTTTCCTCCGGCGTATACTTGTTTTGGGCAGGAGGAGTTTTGCTTAATCACTGGTCTACGCTTCGGAAACGATGATGTAGGTCGGTACACTAGTCATATCGCCCGCCCATCATGGTTATCTCGGGTTTTTCCTGAGCTGGCAAAGGCAAAGTCGAGTTTACACATCGACGACTTGAAGAGATTATTTGTTAAAGATGGTTTTACTCGGATAGATGACCTCGATGTTGTCCGAGTATGCCATTTATTACTTTTGCATGCTGGCTTTTTAGGCAAAGAGGACAGACAACCTATTTCTGAGGACCTAATATTATTGGTAGAGAACCTAAATGCATGGAACCTATTTCCGTGGGGTTCATATCTATGGAAAGCTACCAGGAAAAAGTTGTCATCTGTCTTTGAGGACCGAAAAAGTTTGCGTGGCCATGGTTCCAAATACACTTTGGCAGGCTTTATTTGGGCCTTTAAGGTAAGAATTTCTATATAATGTTTCCAAAATTATAATTAATTATTTAACAATTACTAATGTTTGTGTATTATATTGTTTGTAGATTTGGATATTTGAGGCTTTTCCCAACATGCGGACATATGTAATAAAAAATTCAAATGATATTGCTAGGGCTATTTCCTGGAGGAGGATCTGACTGTTGGATTGGGAAGAGTTACTAACATATACGACGATGAATGATGTAAGTTAACACAAATACTACCATATATAAACAAGTTATTACTAGTAGACGTTTAACTTTGTTTGAGCTTTTATATTGTTAGGAGGCCAAATATCCATTACAGAGGCTGACACCCACAGAGGCAGAGCTTGCCACTGATTGGTGGCAAGCTAGTAAGTGTTTTTTTGATGGCACGGATGATGAGCAGCCCCCACTTCGAGAGTCATCACCTCACCCAGAGCCATCACCTGATCGAGTCGATTATACACCTCCACAACGAGAGCCATCACCTATTCAATCACATCATCGAGCCTCTTCTCCACCATCACCTCATGATAGGCGGCCGCAAAAGATGCCACAACATTTATCTCCCTGTTCTCCACCTCCACAGGATAAGTTAGGGGAGTTACGTGATGAGGTCAATGCTTTGCGTAAGGAGGTCGGTACTTTACGTGAAGATAATGGTGCATGGCGTGATGAGGTACGGTCTTTACGTGGTGAGGTAGAGGTTTTACGCGATGAAAATGGTGCTTTACGTGGTGAGGTATCTACTTTACGTGATGAGGTAGCCACTCTATGTGAGATTTTTGTATCGTTGCAGAATGAGGTTCATACTCTACGCAATGAGGTAAGTTTGTTTAATATTATACTAAAAATGCAAATAACCTTTTTTCGGCATTATTTTTTTTTATTTACTGATTTATGTATTAATTTATTTTTAGCCGCCCGATAAGGTAAATGCTTTACGTCGGGTTTTTCTTGCACGACGAGGTTCACGCATCAGACGTCGTGCATGTGTCATTACGTCTCTGTTTACCCCAATAGTGCCAATACTCCATAAGAAGAAGCCCGAAGCACCTGTCATCATTCAAGAGGCTCCTATCATCCTTCAAGAGGCCCCTTCCATCGTTCAAGAGGCCCCTGTCATCGTTTAAGAGGTCCCTCCCACCGTTTGAGAGCCCGATTCACATGGCATAATATGTCGACATATTGATAAACCTCCTCACGTGCCCGACATGATGGATGAAAGTTGGCTTTCGTATGAGTTACCAATCAGTACCATTTCGGTATTTGAAGTGGAGAGGAGAACACTACCAGACATAATTCTGGATAATACCCTTTGGGCTAAGACCGCAGTTGATTTTTATCTACATGAGCGGAGCCAGGGGTGGTACGCTGATATATGCGAACTCGATGATGATATGCATTTTTTTCTTGATCGGTCTTGGTGGGGTGTGTTATTTCGGGTTGAAGACAATGGCTATTTCGACGGGGGATAAGTCTTATATTCTTCTTATATTGCATTTTGATTAATTTTTTTTAAATTTATGAAATTCACTAATATATGTATTTTTTTTATAAAACAACATATTGATGCATGGGTGTCACGTCTTCTGATAATAAAGAAATTGAAGAAAATAAAAAATACGCGATGGACTATTATGCCGACGACTTTTCACGTATCTCACTTGAAGGATCAGAGAGACACTTCATATGTGTTGGGTAATGGAAAATCTAAACTTTATCCTGCGTGGTGGGAGGTCGATAAGGTTAGTATTTATTTTTGAATATTTTAAAGGTGTTCATAAATAAAAATTTGATGTGCACAATTGAATTATTATTTATGATTGCAGGTGTTTATCCTTGTTTTGGAACGTCGTCATTGCCTTCTCATCGAGCTTCAGCTCCCATCCCTGAAGACAATGGTATATGATAGCATGTTGAATTACATACCATTGTCTGATTTGAGAGATATTATTTGTAAGGGATGGAGCGCTCATTTGGCTAAATACTTGGATGCGATTGATTATTGGACTAATTCTGGAAACAAGAAGCCAAAAAAGTTCAAAGTTACAATGATCAGAGATGAGACCGCGCCACAACAAACGCAGGGAGCCAGAGGGGATTGTGATCCTCTCGTATGCATGTGCTTGGAACATTTGACGACAGAAAGTAAACAGTTTATACCTCCCACAGATAGAGATAGAGGTGCAGTAGGCTTGTGGTTTCGACATTTTATGGCCAGAGCGATATATGCGAGACGCTGCCTACCTACATCCGCGTGCTGAAAGTGTGCATAAACAACACAAATTCGTAAGTTTGAGCAAGTTTTGTTAACATATATACTCTTTGTTGGTTTGAAAATGTTTGGTTAAGTACCTAGATAATTTGTTGTTTGTTGGTTTTAGATATGTAGAAAGTGTTGTTTGAGCAAATGTTTGGTTTCTGTAGGTTAATCCTGATCCTGAAGTGAGCTGCGTGAAATTGATGTATTTGTGCATAAACAACTGTCTGCATGAAATTGATGTATTTGTAAAAGTTTATTTGTTTAATTGATGAGGAAATAAGAATTTT